CTATCCATCCTTCCAGCATCTGTGGTTCCTCTATCCATCCATCTGTCCACCATCCATGGTTTCTCCATCCAACCATCCATCCATCCATCCATCCATCCATGGTTTCTCCATCCATCCACCCTTCCACCATCTGTGGTTCCTCTATCCTTCCACCATCTGTGGTTCCTCCATCCATCCTTCCACCATCTATGGCTCTTCCATCCATCCATCCTTCCACCATCCATGGTTTTTGCATCCATCCATCCATCTGTCCACCATCCATGCTTTCTCCATCCACCATCTATGGTTCCTCTATCCATCCTTCCAGCATCTGTGGTTCTTCTATCCATCCATCCTTCCACCATCCATGGTTCCTCCAGTCATCCATCTATTTCTCCATCTACTTTCTATGGTTCATCCATCCATCCACCCACCCACCATCCCTGGTTTCTCCATCCATCCATCCATCCATCCATCCATCCGTCTGTCCATCCATCCATCATCTGCAGTTCCTCCACTCCTCCCTCTGTGCTTCCCTCCATCTTCCATCCCATCCCTCCCCCTTTAACAACTTGGTGGTCCTCCCACCACATCCCCACCCCACCCCAAATCCCCCCTCACCTAAAGACAGGTCCCTCCTCATTAACGTTGGGTGGGGGATGCAGCTGACCCCGGGTCTGCAGCCGGTGCCTGGCACGCACCACGAAGCTGTGGGTGATGAGAAGCTTTGGTGAAGACATGGGGACGTGCCACCGTGGTGGGGATGGACAAAATCATGGAGGTGGGGAACATCAGGGATGGGGAGATGGGCGTGGAGGGACCGTGGTTGGGTTCTGGTTGTCCCACCGTGAATGGATTTGGGTGGCCCCATCATGGTTGGGTTCTGGTGGCCCCATCATGAATGGATTTTGGTGGTCCCACCATGGATGGATTCTGGTGGCCCCACTATGAATGGATTCTGGTTATCTCACCATGGTTGGGTTCTGGTGGCCTCACCATAGATGGATTCTGGTTATCTTACTATGGTTGGGTTCTGGTGGCCAACTGTGGTTGGGTTCTGGTGGCCTCACCATGAATGGATTCTGGTGATCTCACCATGGTTGGGTTCTGGTGGCCCCACTATGAATGGATTCTGGTTATCTCACCATGGTTGGGTTCTGGTGGCCAACTGTGGTTGGGTTCTGGTGGCCTCACCATGGATGGATTCTGGTGGCCCACCATGGTTGGATTCTGGTGATCTCACCACAGTTGGGTTCTGGAGGCCCCACCATGGCTGGATTCTGATGTTCTCCCACCTACAACCTCCCATGGAGGAGCACCCAAGGCCACCTCCCACCCCACGTCCCCAAGGTTCCCAACTCACGGCAGGTCCTGGGGATGCGCCACGGTCCCACACGGATCTTAGCCTGGCGACAAGCAGCATCATAAGCTGCCAGGACCTCTCCAAGGGCATCCCTGTCCCCGGGGGACTCGCAGAGCTCCCACAGACAGATGTCAAAGAAGATCCCAGGACGGACAACTTCATGACAGACCCCAAAAGGACCCCGGGGGTCCCTCAGGACATTGCAGAGCTTGCTGTGGATGTATTCATTTTTGGGAGGCTGCCGACACGGGGGACATTTTGGACCTGGACAGAGACGGTGACACGTGGCCACCTGGTTCCGGTGGAAGTGGTCGTTGTGGAGACGACCATCAAAGTTGCCACATAGACCACAGGTGGAGTTGTGGTAGGAAGAAGGCACGGTGATGGCCAACATGTCCCCCGGGCCCACGGTGACGCTGAGGCCGAAGTCGGTGACGAGGAGGATGGTGGCACCTTTGTGGGCCAGGCAGGCAGCCCGGCGTGGCAGGCAGAAGGGCAGCGGCACCGCGGAGCCGTCGACCTTGAGGGGTGGGATGGGGGGTTGGGGGCCAGCAGTGAGGGGCTGGATGGTCACCTGTGATCCTCATCACTCACCACTTGGCCTCCATCCATCCATCCATCCATCCATCCATCCATCCTCTCCGTCCTCATCCATCCATCCTCTTCATCCATCCGTCCTCTCCATCCTCATCCATCCAGTCTCTTCCAACCTCCTCATCCATCCAGCTTCATCCATCCAGCTTCTTCCATCCATCCATCCCATCCATCCATCCAACTTCTTCTATCCATCCATCCATTCAATGTCTTCCAACCTCCTCATCCATCTGCCTTCATCCATCCATCCATCCAACCTCTTCCATTCTCATCCATCCAGCTTCTTCCATCCATCCATCCATCCATCCTCATCCATGCATCCAACTTCTTCATCCATCCATTCAGTCTCCTCCAACCTCCTCATCCATGTCTTCATCCATCCATCCATCCATCCAACCTCTTCATCCATCCATCCAACCTTACCATCCTCATCCATCCAGCTTCTTCCATCCATCCATCCTCATCCATCCATCCATTCAATCTCTTCCAACCTCTTCATCCATCTATCCTCATCCATCCAACCT